TTAGCGAATCGAACATGAGTTGTTCGCGAACAAAAAGTCATTTTGACAACCCTAGTCATGCAATCCTATGATATTATGTATTAAAACACCATTTAAATATAATTTAATATTTATTTTTTTAGTTAATAATTTTAATTGATTATAAATCTTTGTAGCCTTATAGGCAATTAAATTGTTTAAAAATACTACTCATCAAATACACACACACACACACACACACACAATTATAAACGACCAAATCTTTGTTCATGTTTGACTCGTTTATATATTGAGCACAAAAAATTGTTTGTTCGACTCGTTACCTTAGATAACGAATCGATACACACACACACACACACACATTTCGAGCAAAAATGAGCCAATTATAAACGACCAAATCTTTGTTCATGTTTGACTCGTTTATATATTGAGCACAAAAAATTGTGTGTTTGACTCGTTACCTTAGATAACGAATCGAACACGAGCTTCTTAAAGAGCTGAACAAAAACTATTCACTAAGAAGGAGCCATTTTGATAGCCCTACCTATATAGAGGATATACCTCACAAATATGAGGTCAACATACAATAATTAGGATTCATTGATTTCATCAAAATATTAAACCATAGATGTTCAACTGTCATGAATGGGCATTCGCAAATAATTATCTTAGCCAAATTTTTTTGATCCTGTTATGATCATAAGATGATGAAATACATAAAGTAGAAATAGACTAAGTTTCATCAATATCCTCATATATTAGGTCAAAAAGTTTTTTCTTTTTCTCACTACCAACAATTCTATTATAGTGAGTGATTGCCCTTAATATGTCTGATCATTTGAGATTTAGTGTTTGTTTTTTTTATTTTACATATGACTTCACGTAATAATTGCACTTCCATCTTTGTATAATTTTTTTCTTTTCAGTGACGGATCTTTCAGTGATGTGTTGCTCAATCTATGGTCGTTGTTTCTTAGTATTTTTTCCCTATATAAGCTATTTCATCTACACTTTTATGTGGGTAATTGCTACATCAGCAAGTGCAATAGGCTCCCTTGAACCACTATTAGATTTACTTTGAGATCAACTTGTTGCTGACTCTACAAATTTATAACATTAAGTTAATAAATAGTATACCTAGAAATACAAAATGAAAAGCATTGGGCATGATTGCATATCTTTCCAATAAAATCATAACAATTGTTAAAAAAAAGGTCCTAAAAAATATTTATCACCAACAAATTTACCAACTTTAAAAGAAGCTTCATCTTATTTCATACACAATGCAAATGATTGATAAAGAAATATTCAAACCACGTCACAAGAGTGACTCCATCCAAAATGAAATTGTTATCACAACATATTAAAAACATGTCCTGTCAACAAGAAAAGTTAAAGCTTACTAAAGCTATTCAAATAAATTTATCGATAGCCAATATGACACTATTTTCGATTTAATAGATTAGGAAATAATTCCTAAGCAAAAAACAACAATGCAAAGTTGAAATTCATCTTATGCCAAACATCAACATTAATTTGTACTCGAATAAATTTAAAAATCTAACAATTGATAATGTGAGGATATGTATAGAAAAAAAGGTCATAAACATAGAATCATCATTTGAATGTGTCCCAATTGAGGTGTTTGAAAAACAACATAACTCAGAATAAGAACTCATCAAATAGAAAATTAAATGCAAAAAAAATTGAAGTAAAATATATTTATCCAAAAATCCTATGACTTAAGATCAAAGACCACCATCAAGGCATCAGGTGTAGTATTTGCAATTGTACATACTCGAACATACCGGTTAGCGGAGACAACCCTAAAATAAAGAGACTAACATATTTAATAAGTTGAACTTTAGCTTTCTATCATTCTATGATTCCAAATGTTTGAGGATGATCCATCAAATTGAATAGTACATTCTTCAATATATCTAATAAGATAATGATAACAACTACCACCCAGACATATCAAAGGATAAAGTTAAGAACCACCACCCAAATATGTCAAATAAAAAATTTCAACACCATTGCTCAATATATCTAAGAACCATAGAACATTGTAACACTGAAAATCATCATCCACCATAAATCATTAAAACCATGAATTTGACATATTAATATATGATTGCTACATCACTATCTGACATAAGTTTGTTGGCATCCATGTTACATACCATTACAAGAAGCATCCCCGGAACGTTACGTCAAAATTTGTCATAGTTAAAAAATGACATAACCTTGAAACTGACCAAAATTTTAAAAAAAAAATCTGACATTTTCTTAAAACTTTCACAATTGTATAAATGCCACTCAATAGGACACAATGGAGAAAAAAGATTCATGCAGATGTAGCCAACCCCACTTACAAGAAGGATCCCCCTAACATTTACATTTTTTTAATGGAAGATAACAATTCACATGAGAATTATTCCAACTAAAGATGGCTATTAGTGGAAGAAGCCAAAAGAATATCTTTAAGAGAAATTTGTCTAAGTAATTGATATAAACTTACATTTATCAAAAACTGAAATAGAACTTTTGAAGAAAAATAACAACTGAAGAAGCAATCACATGAACCAATTCTCCAATAACCATGTCTAATGCTTTTTAAGAGTTTGGAGTCAACAAATGTCAAATACATGTGGGAATTCCTTCCAAATTGAGGTTCTTACTGAGTTTTTTTCTTCTCTCAAAAGCAAATAAAATTCATATATATAAAAGTAGTGTAACATATTTGATTTTCAATGTCAAAACACATTTATGTTTTTAACATCAATTAGTAGCTAAAGTAGGGATGCTTACCTGTTCCCATACACCAATGTTGAAAGTTTGTTCTAAATTTATAAAAAGCAACTCATCATATAAGCCAATAAAGTGATTCATCCCAACTCGTCTAACATACCCTTAAAACAAAAATTTGTGTAGCTAAGAAATTACCTTAAACAATATCACAATTGTTACTTCATAAAAATCATACTTATGAAATTTAGTGCATTCTTTGTAGCATAATAGCTTGTGTGCTACTTTCTAGGTCAATAAATCAATAGATTAAATGCTTAATCCTTGTGTAAGAAATACACATCGTAAGAGGGAACACAGAAAAAACCACATATATGTTGAAGAGAAACCAAAAAAGATTGATCACTGTCTCACAGAAAGGAAACACAGATGGCAAGAAATACACACTAACCAAATAAAAAATATAGAGAAAATAGAAACCCTAAATTCCTTTTCAAACCAAGAAAAATGTTGATCGCTGTTAGTGATCACTATTTCTTTCAATATAGGAAAGAAAAAGAGAAAAATTATTATGAGTTAGGGTTATCTAGCCAGATATCGCACACCGCACAAAAAAACAACATGATAATGGCATCAACATGTCGAGCATTGGAACCCCCACCAGATAGAGAGTGAGAAAGAGAGTGAGAGGCCACAGTCAGGAGAGGCTGAGAACAAGAGAGAAGATGAGAGAGTGAAAACAAAATTCTCCTTTGCGAGAGAGTAGATATGAGAGGGGATGTGAAAGACAAAATTTAGGGCTTCAGGCAGCGCTGAAGTGGGAAATAGGAATATAGGATAAGGGTTTTGTCTTTAAGCATTCGTGATTCGAGTAAGATCCACAATCCCTCTCACACAGTGGCACAACACTTCAATTAATTTACAAATTGATTTGATCCCGATCCGAGCCATATGTATTGAAATTGGATTGATATAAATTCGATCTTTTCAATTAGCTCGTAGCTCGGCTCAAAATATTTGAGCCGATTTCGATCCAAGCTAAATTTGGATTCAATTTTCGAGTGATTTATGATCTTCAAACCAGTTTCACAGCCCTGGTAACAATGGAAGCTTGCATGGCGGAATCACAAAGTGATCCCATCTCGAACGGTTGATGTATAGAACAAAGTAAAAGAACAAAAAATTCTCATAAAATTTATATAATCTATACACATTTGTCCACATGTGATATACAATGAAAATGGATGAAGTAATGGAGAGCATTTTTTTAAGGAGTTTAATTTCTCAGTGCCCATTTGTTAAGTTCTGTATTTGTGAACATCTGAATTAAGTAACATTAAACACTATATTTTTCACGTTTAAAGAACAATAGATCAGTCATGAGAATCAAAGGAGATTTTAATTGGTTCTAAATTGCATGCGCAGTATAATGGAACCCAGCGGCACCTAGCGAGTCTCTTGCGCAAGAACCATATTTTTTATGTATGCTGACCATCTCCCATACGCATGTGATTGATTCAAATTCGTGAAAAGTTTTATCATGCATGCGCACTTATGTCAGTGCAGTCAGATGTGTCTGCCTTAATTTTCTTGCTCCAAATAGGCTAGAACGAGTTGACACGAGCGAGCCCAGGCTCAGCTCTTGTTCTGCTCATTTATATTTCAAGCTCATGGCTCTTAAAGTGTGTCCGTGTTTGGCTCGTTTGCTTAGCGAGCCGAACACGAGTTATTCACGAATAAAGAATTGTTTTGTTAACCCTGATCGCGTAGTCATAAGATGTTAAGGGTTGTGGCAAGATTTAAAAATTATTATTTATATTAAAACATCATTTGAACATAATTTAATAATTTTTAATATATTTTCTTAATTAAGACTTTTAATTGTTTATAAATCTTTCTAGCTTTGTTGTCAATTTAAATTTATATATATATATCAGCTGTCCGCATTCACTTTCTTTCCAGCACAGGAATCCATCATGCAAGGGAGATTCATTGCAACCTCCATGAATCAACAACAAGGTGAAACACAACACAGATTGAACCCATGTCCTTTGTCTCATATTATCTGTTACAATCCATCGGCCGTACAAACCCTAAAAAATTAAAAAAAATACAAATTTGCCAGGGTTTATGCGCCACCACGTTCAGTTGGCCGGCAGCCGCCCACTAAGCAAAGAGATAAACTCAAACATATATATTCTATATAAGCTCTGCCTTCTGCCTTCAATTATCAACAGCATAAGAGAGACTGAGACTGGAGATATAGAGAGAACATGAAGAGCTTCTCTTCGTTGTTGCATGTGATTGTTTTGTTTTATTTATGTTTAAAGACAGAAGGCCAACTGAGAGCTGATTATTATGCGAGCAGTTGCCCTAATTTGTCTAATGTGGTTAGAAGAGAGGTATTTAAAGCTCTTCAGAATGAGATGAGGATGGGTGGTTCCCTTCTTCGGCTCCACTTCCATGATTGCTTCGTCAATGTGAGTTTTTTTTGTAGGAAAATAATATGTTTATAAAGAACAAAAATGAACTCATGTCTTATATAGTTCCTGAAAATTAGAATCTTCAAGCAACTTTTCTTAGGGTGATAATCTATATATTTTATGTTTATTTTTAAATGAAATGTTAATAAGAAAAAATTGATTGCATGCAGAATAAAATTAAGGGAAATTTGCTGATGATTGAATCCGTTCTTATTTTGAGAAATTTAGATATTTGATGTATAATTCATATATGTTTTTACATATATAACTAATACCTAAAGTTTAGAAGTTAACATTTATAAAAATTTGGTGTAATATTATTGTAATATTAAAGTTAACATTTACAAAAATATTTGGATCAAGATATTATGATCAACTTTATAATAAGGATGTGTTTTACAATCCTTTGATCTGCTTTAATATTATTGTAACAAACATATAAATTTATTATTCATTGGTTACAATGTTCTGAATGGGCTTTATGTAATTATCATATTGTTAATCTCTTGCAGGGCTGCGATGCATCAATCCTCTTAGACGGCAGCGACAGCGAAAAACTCGCTCTTCCAAATCTGAACTCTGCAAGAGGGTTTGATGTCATAGACAGCATTAAAGCTGCAGTGGAGAACGAATGCAACGGAACCGTCTCCTGTGCTGATATACTCGCCATAACTGCAAGAGACTCAGTTCTTCTGGTATCCACATTATTTTTCTTTTATTTGAAAAAAAATGTATTTATTTGGTTTGTTATTTGTATGTTATTAGGTGGTTAGGTGGATGAGTGGCTTTACACTTAGAGACAAAATGCGAAATGAATATATTCGCATTAAGCGCCGATTATCTCATGATTCAATTAAGAGAATATATGTTTTAGATTTGACTTATGTTAAGAAAGGCAGAGGTAGACCTAGGAAGACTTGGGCTTATTGTATAAAAAATGATCTTAATTTATTATAACTATATGAAAATATGACAGATGATTGAAATATAACAAAAGTGAAAATTATTAATGATTATGACATTGCTATTTAATTAAATGACCATGCAATTGCTTATGTAAACAGATTAAAGAAGTTCTTAAAACATATTTTTTTGCAACTAACGATTGTTTTCTTGGTTCATCATTAAAACTTATTCATCCTGAAAGTTCCAGAAAATTTTATAAAAATATGATTTTGTATTGCTAAGAAAATCAAAAGTTTGGACATTATTAATGATTTGTCAGAGTGGAGGCCGACCATGGACGGTTCTGCTTGGAAGAAGAGATGGGTTGGTAGCAAACCAGAGTGGTGCGAACAATGGGCTACCGAGTCCTTTTAATAGTCTTGATGTAATCATAGCTAAATTTGCTGCTGTTGGCCTCGACACCACCGATGTGGTCACTTTGTCAGGTATGTCTATCACATATTAACTCATTATGATTGATAATTAATTACATGAACATATTTATATATATATATAAGAAGAAGAAGAAGAAATAAGATGAAAATGATTATGGGTGTCAAAAGAGTTTGATTTTTTTTTTAGTAGTTTTAGTTTGGGGGATTTGCATACATATTCTCCACACAATTATTATCCATGTACATATCCAGCACCAAAATTTTCGTTATTTGCATATATAACACTCGAATATTAACTATTATGCCCAACATGTTACTATTACTAAGTTCATAAAAGTGAAATAGATCTTTTCATGTATAGATTTATGACATCAATGTGTTGTAAATGTGAATATTAATTTTTTTAATGTTAGATATGTAAATACATAGAAATCATTTGGTATGCATGCAAATTTTGCTTGTTCGGTGAATTTAAATACATACCACACAATTCTTATTTATTTACATATCTAAGCCTACACTTTTATATTTAGAAATATAACATATAAATTTTTAATATTACATCAAAAATAACAATATTACTAATATTTTAAAAGAAAAATAAACTATTTCATGTATAGATTTATGACATTAAAGTATAATACACATGTAGTTTTATTAATTTTTTGAATCAAATCATATGATTCACACACAACTCACATGAAAAAGCTGCACATAAAAATTTGAAGGTGGCCACACAATCGGACGAGCTCGTTGCACCTTATTCAGCAACCGCCTGTTCAACTTCTCCGGCGGTGGAGCCGCCGACCCCACCCTCGACTCCTCCCTCGCCTCTGAGCTCCAAAGCCTCTGCCCTCAGAACGGCGACGGAAACGTGACGACTGCTCTTGACCAGAATTCCACAGACTACTTCGACAACCACTATTTCAACAACCTCATCAACAATAAAGGAGTCCTATCCTCCGACCAGCTCCTCTTCTCTGACGATGCTGCAGCTACGAATTCAATGAGAACTCTGGTTCAGAGCTATGCAAGCAATAGCAACCTCTTCTTCTCTCAGTTTGCAAGCTCCATGGTGAAGATGGGGAATATAAGTCCACTCACTGGTGTCAAGGGAGAAGTGAGGAAGAATTGTAGGGTTGTAAACTCTAGTTAATATTGATTATTAACTTAGCTGCGCACAGACCCTGGTGGTCTGTATTATATATAAATCTATGTATTTGATGCATGCAAAAAAAATTGAAGTGATAACAGTCAAATTCAGTTGTACTGGTGATATTGGTTAGTGAGTCTGCACTTTTACCAAAAATATTTGCTACATCATCAGATCACAAAGAATATATATATATATACATACATACATACATATATATATATATATATATATATATATAATATATATATAATTTGTGAGAGCTCCTTAGGATCTGCAACAGCTACAAAAAGAAGCTTTGTTATGTTCCTATTGAGCCATGGCATTGGGATCAGCTTGTGTGAAGCTTGTGATTATATAAAGAGTATTTGCTGGGGTTTTAAGCATATTTGGAGGCCTCCATGATATAACATATTAAATTAGGATTTTGTGTAGGATTAAAGAAGCAAGAAGTACTTTTGCAACAAGAGTTTTTTTCTTAAATGTTTTTGTCTTAGTTCTGATTTCTCTCGGCTGATGTATGATCAATTAACATGTTTAGGTGAAGTTCTATGTTTAGCCCCACATTAGATAATTGAATATTACATAAATGTATGGATATCATGTGATTGACTCTTATTCTTCCTAGGCTTTAATTTTTTTATGTGTCGAAAATGAGATTTAGGATTGATGTTATGGCCCGACTGGGGTTCTTTTTAGTGGTTGTTATTTTTGTTAAGAGAAACATAATGTACATATGTCAGATTGAGCTATTTGGCTTCTTTTTTGTTATGCATGAGTATACTTATGTTTCAATATGAGTCATCAACATTCTGCTGCCATAAAATTGTGCTATAATCACATAACTTGTAAAAATATAGCTGAATATTAAAATAATCACATTTAAGAACATTCTTATTAAAAGGCAATATGTTTGGATACACATTTCATTTTATAGACACTTTAGAAGAAATTTGATTATTGTTGTTTTGATTAAAAATTTTAATCATAATCATCATAAATGCTAAATGAGTAATATTTACGATCTATTTGGGGCAGTTGCAGCTTATCAATAAATTGTTGCGTAGCAGCTGCCCTTAGAAGCTACAGGGGATAAGCTGGCTAGCTTTTTGTTTTCTGTGGCTTAAAAATAGTAGTGCAGTAGTTGTTTCTGAATAAATGACTATTTTGCCCTTGTGTATTAATGTCATTTGTAACATAGTTGTCATAGTCATATATTTGATACTAGAGAAGCAAAAATTCACAAAACAACAATACCAAAAATAAGATATACACCTCGTTTAGTAGTAAATATCAAGATTTATAAAAACAAAAAAAAACTATTAAAATTGCAATTAATAATATGATAATTTTGTTTTCAAATTGTTGAAGATGTACGTCATGAGATACATTGTCCTCCAGAAAATGCTATCTAATACTGATCACTGTTGATAGTGGAATCTGTCAGACTGTCTGCACACTGGAAGAAGCCACACTTCTATGTGATTCTCTGTGGGCACCTGTACAAGTATCTCTCATAGCTATGTGTCTGACATGACGTAAGTTGAGAAATTTGAAGTGTACAGTAGTAGAGTAATTGTCAGGAGGTCCCTGAAATCATGGAGCTCATCTTTCCTGAATGCTATAAAAGACAATTCATTAGTCATAACAAAAGTTGAGACTATTAAAAGGAGTAATTAATTATAATTTTTTGCAGGTGTGAGGTCTCAGAGAACTTGGTAAGCCAACCAACGAATCGATCACTACAAGCAGACCACAGACCTTGTAAAAAAACGGTTCTTGATTGTCCTTATCCCACATAAAATCAAGCTCATGTCTATCACATATGTATAACACCAAAAAGGTCATGTAAAAGATCCCCAAAACCAAATCGCCAAAAATAAGAGAGGAACTCGGTTGCCTTCATTATGAATTTTACATGTGGCACCAACCAAAAACAACTAACAGGCCATCTAGAAGAACCCTTAAGGTTGTTAGCACTGATTGCCCACTCGCCTTCCTTTTGTTCATTCTTGGCTGGCTTCTCGCTTTCTTTTTTATCATCATTGCCATCAATATTCAATTTGTTGTTTTTATCGTGGAGTCACCAATTTCTTACATGTTTTGTTGCCCTTTACCAGACTAATCATTGTCATGAAGGATTAAAGGACTAGGGTAGGTAATAACATGAATAAATAAAAGGAATATGTGGGGAGGCCTTTCATGAAGATTAGTTACCCACATCTTTAAAGAATATATTAGAAATACCTTATGGATATAATTGTAGAGGAATCTTTATGAAAGCCGATAACGAGAGAATTCAAATTGATACATTCATTACGGAGTTGTTATCTTCCTATAAGGGCAAGCCCCTATAGTTTATTACATCTTAAATAGTAAGGACTATTTTAACAAAACCCCAATTAAGGTTAACAAAATGTTCTCAGAAGAGTTATGTTTTATGGTTATATAAAGAAGCATCAACTTCTCAGTCTAAAGGTTGTAGAACCCTAAAGAGTTCACTATCCTATGGATTTATGTTTAAATGAAATTCATCTTCAATTACACATCTTCAATGCTCATCTCTGTCAAACAGAGTTAGCACATCCTAGGATGACGGTCCACTCATTTTCTTAAGTAGTCCTACAAAACAAAGTTAGCAAAAAAAAGTAATGTTTATTTTTGTTTGTTGAGTTTTAAATTTTTAGACAACCCGATCAAAATATCAATAGCTCCTTCGTCCCAGGTTCATCAAATATCTGATCTACTTAGTCTGAAATGTGTTTAAACTAGAACCGGAAGATTCTTGTCAACAACTACGATTGCATTGTCCAAGAAATCTTCGTAGATCAAAGCATGTTGGGTTAAAGTTATGTTTGATGATCTTTGTTCATTAGGGTTTCATTTAAGTTTTAATGGCTTTTTTGAATTTTAGGGATTAAAAATTTTAGAATGTTTAACGTTTATTAATTGATTGATTTTTATCATTTTATTTTTTTTTTGTTCAGAATGACCCGATTGAGATCTCATGATTCCGTCACCCTGGGTCATTTAAGTTTGAGATTTAATTAGTCACAAGTGATTGGAAGATATTTTGTTGGCAACTATGGGTTACCTCCTCCAAAATAACTTCTCAACCGAAGTTGTATTTTTAGGTTAAAGTTTAAGTTTTAAGTCTTTTAAGGTGGATTTTAGGTAGTTTATACCTTAGCCTAAATTATTCCCGATTGAGGTAAGATGTGTTTTATGTTCTCATACGAGAAATAAACTCGTACCCTTCAATCACTTGGATTAAGCTTATTTTTAGAGTAATTCAAGTTGAATTGAATTAGCCTAAAACAAGTTTCCAGATAATCTCAGTTTAACCTTGATTAGACTAATTGTCTCTAAGATTACCTTCAATCTTGGTTGATTTGACTAAAGCCCACTAGGATTGACCTAGGTTTATTTAGTTTGATTGGAATCAAACTACTTAGATCAACTTGAGATTAGTCATGTTCAAACTATTTAGACTTGATAAAGTCTAAGTTAATTTAAACTTGAATTATGCTTTAGGTCTAAGTTAGACTTAAATCATTCATAGAATAGGCTGAAGTTAAAGATCTCTATAGTTGAGTCTATTATCTAATTGATTTAATTTAATTGAGGTAACCTGAATAGGTCTTAATTAACCTTAGAATTCAATTGAACATGATTTAAAATATACCAGACTCCTAAGTTCAAATTAAATTGAACTTAGATTGGATTTAGGTTAGACTAAACTCAATAGAATTTATGTTAAGCCTAGGGTGACCAATAGAATTTATGTTTAGGGTGAGTTAGACCTAGCATTGTAACTCATCATGAACTACATTTAATGTGGACTAGACTTGGTATTTAGGTTTGCCCATTGAGCAAGAGTAGTTAAGAGAAGCTCTAAGCATGTAGTAAATAGATAAGGAGATAGTGGGCATCCCTGTTGGAACCCATAGTTTGCTTTAATTTGAGTTTTTTTCCTTTCATTGATCAGTAATATGTAGTTCTGGTTTTGTACGCATGCCAACACCCACCTATTAAACATTTTCAGGAAACCCCAAAAATTTAGGACTCTCTGTATTGTTTCATGATTCATCATTATGTAGACTATACTTGGTATTTAGGTTTACCCATCGAGCAAGAGTAGTTAAGAGAAGCTCTAAGCATGTAACAAACAGATAAGGGGATAGTGGGCATCCCTGTTGGAACCCATAGTTTGCTTTAACTTAAGTTTTTTTCCTTTCTTTGATCAGTAATCTGTAGCTCTTGTTTTGTACGCATGCCAACACCCACATGTTAAACATTTTCAGGCAACCCCAAAAATTTAGGACTCTCTGTATTGTTTCATGATTCATCATTCTGTATACTTTCTCCATATAGATCTTGATAAGCATCAATCCAGATTTAGACGCGAAGATTCTAAGTTTGTTAACATCATCTTGTGTCAAAAGGAAATGACTAGAGATGGATCTTTAAAGAACAAAATCGTCTTGTTCCAATGATATAACCTCTGGGAATGCATCTTTAGGTCTAGTCACCAAAGCAATAATTTTATAAATAAATTTGCATAAACTTTCCAGCCTGAATATATGGGGAGCATCAGCGCTGTCTTTTTTTTGTTATCAGGACCTCTAAAGAATATCTCGAGGAGTCTGGCATGTTGGTAGTGGCAAACAAATCATGAGTGGAAAATAAAACCTCTTTGTTGAAGATGCTCCAAATGTTTGTAAAGAATGGGGTGGTAATTAAGAATGGGGTGATAATTAAGTTGATTATGGAAAATAAAACCTCTTTGTTGAAGATGCTCCAAATATTATTATAGCCTACAAATTTCTTGATCCATGATGTTGACATTTAGCTGAGCTTAGCTGAGTATTTTTTTTCATATTTTTTTATCCGAGAAATAAGGTCAGCCCTTCACACTAATATTGGTGGCATTCCACTTGGTGTTAATGAAATATATGAAATTTTTTTGCATCTCATCCCACACATCAGTAAATGACCCATCATCCAGTTTAATATGATGAATATGGCTAGATTTATACTTGGCG